GACTGTTCAGTTCTCCAAGAGCTAACTGTTCTTCCTACCTGCCACATGTTGCCAGTGCCAGGAACCTGGCCTATTGTTCCCTTAGCATCGCCATGGTCCAGGGAGGAGACTGTATCTCTGATGCTGCTGAGTCTGAGTGATCAGACCAAGCTGTGATTCTGCTGCATTCAGAGACTCTTTGAAATAGAGCAGCATCGAAAATGTACCTTGTGTTTGCAATGTCTGGACATTGTGGCTCCAGTTCTTGATGTCTGATAAGAAAAGCAGTATTTTAGCAAACTGAATATCTCTTGCCAGTATTTTTTTTTAATGGTGAAATGGGTGAAGATTTGTAGAACAAATTAGTTTTCTTTCCATTGTTATCTGAAAGATTATTTTGTCGAACTTTATCCTGCTCTGGGGTCTGCCCAAATCTGTAAAAGCAATGACTTTCATTGCCTTAATAATTATCTCCATATGGGCGAAATATTAAGGGCGTGCAACAGAGCAGCAAGGAGAACAAAGCATTGAAGTCCCTGAGGAATGCGAGAAAGATTCTTTGGGGCTAGGGCATGGCACCCATCAGACTGGACTAGAAAACACTCCTAAATGTCAACAAAGAGACCTGGAACTATTCATAGGCTTTTCGTTGTTGTTGTTGGGGTTTCTTGTCATTGTTGTTTTGTTTTCTTTGGTTGCCTTGTTTTGCTGTCTTGTTTTTGTGCTTCTTATTGTCTCTGCATGTCTATCTAGATAGATAGAGATACAAAAGCAGGAGGAGAAAATAACAGGACCAAGGACTGGGGAGGCGTGTCAAGGAAGAAGGGGAGATGGGAATGGAAGTGGGAGTTAACAAATACAGGGACAAGGGAATGACAGTGATTTAAAATTGACGGTGAGGAGTGTGTAGGGTGTCTGGTGGGCTTGATCTAGGGCAATGTAACTAGAGGAATTACTGAAACCTTAATGAAGACCAGACATGATAGTGGGACAAGAGGAAAGTAAAAGGAAATAGAGGAACGAACTAGGAGGCAAATGGGCAATTATAGAGGTCTAAATACAGGCATGTACATATGTAAATAAACCTGTTTCCCTATATATGAATATATGTACATATATTCCTTAAGTATTAAGATAGCAGGTAGACATTCGGCCTCTATTCAAGTACTCCTCCAATGCAAGAACACTTTGTTCTAATACGTTGGCATTCCGTGATGCTCACCTTCCTAACAGAATTGCTGAGGCCAAAATGGGTGCATAAGCCAATGTGAATAAAGTTGGTGGTGCCCAGCTATCCAAAGATATAGCGTCTGGGGTATTCAAATGGCCATCTACTGAGAAGCACCAGAGTCCACATGGAAGAAGCACACCAGCCTATGCGATTGTGAGGTGTAGATGGCATCAGGTATCAGACATGAAAGAACCAGACAAAAAATCAGATCAGTGTGAACGAGGGGGAGTCCAGAATGGAGACCTGAAGCCCATCTGTAGACAATTGCACTTCTCCTTACAGAAGGGTCACAGGAAGGGATAAGCCAGTCAGCATGTAGTACAGTACCAATAAAACACACAACATTCCTCCAGTTCTTTAATGCTTACCCCCTCCCCACTATCATGACCCCAATTGTACCCTGCATATCTCCCTACACCATATCTGAGCACACGTAAGAGCTGGAAACACAGGTAATCCAGGACAGATGAACCCCTTAGGACCAATAATGAGAGTAGCCATACCAGGAGATGAAGGGTATGGTGGGAGGAGAAAGCGGGACCTGAGCAGAATGATCAACATATAACCCCCTCCCAAGAAGGCGAACAAAAGAAAAGTGGCTGAAGTGTGACGGATATCAGTCAATATAAGACATGAAAGAATAATAATAATTTATAAGTTGTCAAGGGTTCTTGACCGAGAGAGGGGGAGGTGAAATAAGGAGCCAATACCAAGGGCTCAAGTAGAAAGAAAATGTTTGGAAAATGATGATGGCAACAAATATACAAATGTGCTTGACACAATGGATGGCTGTATGGATTGTGATCAGAGTTGTATGAACCCCCCAATGAAATGATTTAAAAAATAACAGTTAATCTCCCATAAGAGTGCTAGGTGCCTATGGTTCAAAATTCTGTGACTTGAGCCCAGCCTCATGCTGGCTGCCTCCCTCTTCCTGCACACACTGATACCTTGCTGAAACAATATGTGCTCTCTTTTAGG